AGAAAGTTCATACAACACTAATAAAGAAACAAAATTTATCTGAAACTCTTTCTCAAAGCAAATCCCTTGTAGTCTTTTCTTAGAAATGTAGGAAGAAGATATCTCTCACTTTTTATTTCTCCAACACTCTTAAAAAAAGTTTCACACTAAATATGACCACACAAAACCTAAATTATAAAAGAAAAATCACTAATTGACTCCAATATGGTGGTGGAATGAAGGTGAATTATGAAGAATGACAAAAATGGAATGTGGTGGAACATTTTGGAGTGAAAAGAGTCCATTTCCTGATGAATATTGGCCCCAAATAGAGCCAAGGTCGGTTCTCCAAGAGATGCCTCAAAAAACTCTTCAAAAAATTTTCTAAATACATCGAACCTTCTAGAAACGGGGGTTGAACTACCTTTGGCGCCGTCGGCGCTAGTCTGGCGTCGTCAGCGTTGAGTAAAAATTTCAGTTGTTCTGTTGTTCTACGTCGTCGGCGTTGCCCTTAGCGCGGTCGGCGCTGATTACTTCTTCAAAAACATCATTTTCATTCCAAATTCCATCATTTTTGCTTCCTTTTTGCTTTAAGTCCTAAAAATCAACAACCTGCAAGAAAGCATCAAAATACCCTCCTATAAGGTGCAATATCACCAAAATAAGTATAAAATATGGGTCTAAAAATACATATGTTTTCGGTGTATCAATTGTGTAACTTTAGAAATAAAGGATTTAACATTGGAAAGAATGGATTTAACATTGCATATAAGCTCATAATTCTTCCTTTGATTTCTTTTCATCTAAAGAAACCAACAAACAATACAAGGGATTATAAATTACAAATGAAGTTTGAAATTACTGTGCCTCCAATGCAACAAGCAGTAATCCAAATCTCAATACCAGCAAGCAAACAAAAAAGTTTTATAAGTGAGTAACAGCAGTCCCCAAATTTCCAAAGAAAATGCACAACTAAAAAAACGATGTAGAGATTCCTCCTTAATTTAAAATAAATCTAGCCAAACAATTTATTTTATATTTTAATATTGGCACATCATATTATCTCTTCATTTCACCATATCTCAAAGTAGGGAGAAAGATAGAGGAAACTACTCAGATTTCATGAGAAAGACACAACAAAACACAAATTTCATATATAAAAGAAAGTTCATACAACACTAATAAACAAACAAAACTTATCTGAAACTCTTTCTCAAAGCAAATACCTTGTAGTCTTTCCTTAGAAATGCAGGAAGAAGATATCTCTCACTTTTCTCCTTCTCCAACACTCTTACATAAAGTTTCACACTAAATCTCACCACACAAACTCTAAACTATAAAAAAAACCACTAATGGACTTCAATATGGTGGTGGAATGCAAATGAATTATGAAGAATGATGAAAAAGGAGTGTGGTGAAACATTTTGGAGTGAAAATGAGTCCATTTCCTGATGAATTTCAGCCCCAAATAAAGCTCAAGGTCGGTTCTCCAAGTGGTGCCTCCAAAAACTCTTAAAAAATCGCCCAAATTCATCGAACCTTCTAGAAATGGGGGCTGAACCTCCTTTGGCGCCGTCAGTGCTGAGTAAAAATTTCAGCTGTTCTGTTGTTCTGCACGGTCGGCGTTGCTCTTGGCGCGGTCGGCGCTGAGTACTTCTTAAAAAACGTCATTTTCACTCCAAATTCCATCCTTTTGCTTTCTTTTTTCTTTAAGTCCTAAAATTCAACAACCTGCAAGAAAACATCAAAATACCTTTCATTAAGGTGCAATATCACAAAAAATAAGTATAAATTTTAATATGGGTCTAAAAATGCATTTATTTTCGCTGTATTAGTTTTCGGTGTATCAATTGTGTAACTTTAGAAATAAAGGATTTAACATTGGAAAGAATGGATTTAACATTGCATATAAGCTCATAATTCTTCCTTTGATTTCTTTTCATCCAAAGAAACCAACAAACAATACAAGGGATTATAAATTACAAATGAAGTTTAAAATTACCGTGCCTCCCATGCAACAAGCAGTAATCCAAATCTCGATACCAGCAAGCAAACGAAAAAGTTTTATAAGTGAGTAACAGAAGTCCCCAAATTTCCAACGAAAATGCACAACTAAAAAAAATATATATTGATTGAAATTAGGGTGGTAGATACGTAAATACTTAAGTGGTATGAACGTAAATCTTCTTCTAAAGTAAACTCAGTGGGTGTTTGGCTGCACCAAGGATTTAAGTTAGTAGGATTTTGTTAATCTGGTAAATTCGGATTTATTAAATCCAAATGCCCTTAAATCCAGAAAAGTGTTTGGTGCACTTTAGATTAAATCCAGTTAAATCCTCAAGAAGTGTTTTATTTCATGATTTAACACTCCACTGATTAAAAAAAAAACAATGTTTGATTGTATTTTTATGTAATAATAAAAATTTAGGTGTCTAAATATAAAATTAAAAGTTTAAATGTTAGATATGTAAAAACATAAGAATCGAGCGGTATGCATGTACATGCTTTTTCTCTCATCATTGAATCTATCACTTGGCGCTGATGAGCTTCTTGCCCACTGTATAATCATACTCTTCCTCAAACTCCATTTATTGTCCTCCATGTCTCCGTCTCCAATGAATTTCTTCACCATTGGAAAATTCCCAAGCAGTGTCCTTGTATGGATTGCTTTCATCTCATTTTACTTCTCCTTCGTCCTTCTGCTGACTCTTCCTCACGTGGTGAGACCGCCCTCATAAATCTCCTCAAAAAATTTTCTCTCACGACCTCTCTTCTCCTCTGAAGAATCAGAGCAATCTGTTTGAAGTCGTCGATAGACAGTCAAGCGATCACGTCGGATCCTCCCTTTGGAGCGTTATACAATTTGGGAAGGTATAACGAGAACTGTGCAGCTGTGTTTTTCCTCCTAAGCTAAATTCGTTAAATTCACTACATATTTGATTTACATCAAAATGGAGAGCAAAATTGGATTTAGTTTGATGTTAGATTTAACTTCCTTTTTTAGTGTAGGTTGTATTTATATTAAATTCTCTCATAAATCCTATTAAGGAGGTGTTTGGTAGAATTCTATAATAGAATTTAGCAATAGATTTAACATAAATCTAGCCAAACACCAGAAAAACAAAATCCATCGCTCTGTTTAAATAAAGTTTTTCTCATTTCGTCTTTTTCTATAGATGCTCCGTCTTTTTTCTGATGTAAGTCTGTATTAATAAATTCAAGAGAGACAGATTTTATGGATTTATGTGTTCGTCAAATCAAATTTCTTCGAAATTTTATCTTTTTCTACACCTCTTTTGAGACTCAAGTCCAAAATTAGGGTCTGTTTGGGGCAGCTGCAGCTTATCCAGCTTATGCTGATAAGCAACTGATTCTGATAATCTGCTGATAAACAACTGATTCTGATAATCTGTTGATGAACAACTGATCTGAAAAAGCTGTCTGACTGTTTGGTTTGTGCGTTTGGAAAACAGCTGATTTGCAGTTGTTTCTGGATAAATGACAACTTTGCCCCTAAACTGAATAAACAGTTACGCTGTTTGGTTTTTGCGGTTTTAGAACAACTGATTTGCAGTTGTTTGTGGAAAAATGATTATTTTGGCCACATACAGTGGAGCTGTTCTCAACAGTAATATAATGGAACACATTTAATATACTAAAATCCAAAAATATATACTAAACCAACACATAAAAAAGAAGCATTTACATATATAGCACTCAATTCTTATGGATTTACATATCTCACATCAAAACTTTCATTTCTACACTCATACCACCAAATTCCTATGTATTTATATATCTAAAAATTAAATTTTACTTTCAAGAGTCTCAAAAAAGGAATTTGTAAATGGAACAAAAAAAAAAAATAATTTCAATTCAATCATCCTTAAAAGACCAAAAGAAAATAATGAAGGGTAGAAAAGACCATTAAAATTTCTGAAATAAAACCCATAAGCTATGAAGTAAATGGAACCAACGTTCTATTCGCTTAGTTGATGATACAATCACAAAGGCAGCACAAGGATAGATTAATGACATTTATAAGAATGAAAATTTAATGGTAAATTTAGAAAGCGGAATAAAATCTCGCATACATGCAACAATAAAGAAAGCAAGACAAACTTAATTTCTTTTCTTTGTGAATCACAAAAAAAAGTAAAAGAAAAAAAATGAATTTCAACCCTAAAGAAAGCAAGACAAACTTAATTTCTTTTCTTTGTGAATCACAAAAAAAAGTAAAAGAAAAAAAATGAATTTCAACCCTAAAGAAAGCAAGACAAACTTAATTTCTTTTCTTTGTGAATCACAAAAAAAAGTAAAAGAAAAAAAAATGAATTTCAACCCTATCACATATGATTTACACATAAGCGATGCATAAAAAAAATCACAAACAATTATATGCAATCAAATAAGGAAATAAGGATTTGGATTTACCAATTCGTGTTTCTTGCGGTTTGATTGGGGAAAATAAAGAAATCTCTGTAGCTTGAATGACTGGAGGAAGAAAAAGAACCTTGTTCACAGTTGGAGAGAGATCCTCACGGAAAGAAGGATCGGGGTTGAAGAACACGCGGTTCAGACGATCGATGAAGGGAAGGGCTTCGCGAATTGAATGGATCGGGATCGGGGGAAAGAAGGAACCGAGAAAAAAATAAAATCGGGGGCTAGCGAGAGTATTCCATACCGAGAACGGACGCAGCGCCGCCTTCGGCTTCCTTCGTCAAAGAGCAGCGGTTTCCTTCGGCAGATCGGATTCGAGGGCAGCGCGGAAATATTTCGGTCGAACGCTGTAAATCGTGTTTTGACAAACGCAACCAAAACGTGTGAATCAAACATAAAAGCGGCGTTTTCAAAAACGCCGCCGCAGTTTTAAGCTGCCCCAAACGAGCCCTTAATAAATCAGATAAAAAGACGAATTAAAGGAACTTATGCCACGACTACTTATAATCTTCGTTCGCATCACGGTTCGTCGAATTTATGAGATTTGAAAAATACTATTTAACATATATAGGAGAGAAACACCAACACCCCCTTTGTTCATTTCTAGGGGTCTGATCATCTTTTGGGGGTCCGATTGGCTTTTTGGGGAGTGCAAGTTGAATAACGAAAGCAGGTGCAGGAAAAGAAACCCCGAATAAAACCCTAGAATCCGCAGTGGTGGCTGCTCCGAACTCCTCGTCCCTTCTACTTCAGCAGTCGCGTCTTTTTCGGTAAGGGGGGCTCTGTGGAAGAAACAAGCTCATGGCGGAGAAGCCTATAGATTCGAATATCTCCCCTTCGGAAGTCGCCGCTTCGTCTACAGTGCAGGCAGGCTCGACTATTGAGAAAAAGATTCGCCGCGCCGAGCGCTTTGGAGTCCCAGTTAAGCTATCTGAAGAGGAGAAGCGCACATCTCGCGCCGAACGGTAAGTGTTCGGCGGTATATATGCGAGGCTCTTCATAAACTAAAGCTTTTATTTGCTTCTGTTGTTATGGATTGAGTTGTCACTGTTATCTGTGGGTCTGTTTCCTTCTTATGGAATTAGGCTCTTTCATATTTATGCATAAAATTTTCTTTGCGTTTTGTGGAAAATTCAGGAAATTGATGAAAGGGTAATGATCAAAATAGTAAAGCTTGCTTCTTGAGGATTTGCCATCTTGTAAACTTCATACCTATAAAGTAGTTGATATATAATGGTTGATATGCTATAACTTGATGTGTTCTTACCAGGAGTTGGATCTTTCTTTGAAACTAACAAACTGACAAGATAATTAGCCATATTTTCATTTTCCTAAGTTTTTACGTTTTGTTCGTTAGACCTGTCCAAGGAGAAGGCTATTTAATTGTTTATGCTGGATAATTTGATATATGTGATATATGTCATATTATATGAAGAGGTTTTTCTTTCAATATAGCTCCTTCTTAGCGTAAGGTTACATCTTAAGAAGTGTAGCTTTTGGAATTTGGTCCATTCAAATTTTAGGGTTTGTTTGCTGCAAGTAGGATTTAGTTCACTGATTTAATAAATCTTATGTTGCTCAATATTGAACATTGTTTTGTATAATCGGTTTTAAATCTTTTTAAATTTTGGTAAATTGTTTCGGTAATAATTTCAATGTTTAAAGATTTATGTGATTATGATATCTTATTATATTAACTTAGCTTATAAAGATATGAATTTAAATCATAATCAGCACAGTATAGCATTTCAGTTAATTAATGATTTACTAAGCTAATTAAATGATAACTTTTATTTAGTCAAATTAAATTAAAAAAAATACCAATTAACTTAAGGTAATTTTTTATTTATAATATTATTTATTAAAGTTAATTTGATTTTCTTAATCAATGTATCTTGATGTAATTTGCTTGATTGAATATCAACTGTTTTACTTGATAAATATATGTTAATTTTTATTTCGCTAATTAAATTATAAGTAGCATAATAATATATTAATTAATCATTAGTTAATATTCATAGAACTAATTAAATGCATGATTTTTTTAATTAAATAAAATCACAAATAAAATTAATTTGTTTAACTTAGTATTTTTAAGTTAATTAAATTTAATTATTTAGATTAGTTTTCAAATTTTCAATTATAAACTTACCTCTCCTACTTATTACCAATTTCCACAACACACCTAATATCCTAAACACTTTTCTTTTTCCTTTGAACCCTCAATGACAAAGTTATGTTGTAGTTGCAGCAAGAGCTCTCTAGCAAAGGCATTAATGGAATAGCGACATATGAAGGAATATAGGAGTTTGTGAGGCTTGCAAATTTAAGTTAAATATGCTCAATGCGCCGATTCACTAAATTCAGAATTCATGGTGAAACAAAGTAAAAATGGGAATTAGAAATTTGTAAGATTTAAAATGAACCTTTCTACCGTTTAATAGGATTTAGCTTAAGTTATTCTTAGATCTTGCAACAAAACAACCCTTAGTTTACTTGCTATTCCTTACATTATTTTTGTGTATTAGTTGCTTGTTGGCAATTGTAATCATTATCTATTTAATATTTATTTGCTAGTAACTCAGTTTGAGTTTTTACTTTTTTATATCATTCTTTGTTTCTAATTTGATATAGTGAGAAATTCATTTTTATAATTTGATATTGCAACTTTAATTATTGTGAAGTTGTAACTAACAACTATTTAATTACTTTGATGCGTGTTGCTAATTGACCACATTTTTTATCAAATTGCCTGATAAATCTCTGAGACAGTATTTAATTTTTTATAGTCGTAAATAGATGTACGCTCTTGCAATGAAATCTGACCAAGATCTCATCCATCTTATTTCTGTTCAATGTCAAGAAAAATCTTATGTTGAGTTGCAATTGCCTTGCTTTTTTACCCCTCCAGTATCACACTTATCATCATGAACTACAAGACTATCTAGTCTTACTATATTATTTCTTAACTTCAATTTATCTAATAAATTTCTACCACCATCCTAAGGCTTCTTGACTAGTTGCCATAATGTAATTCTAGATAACTTTTTGGAACATGCCACTTTTTTTCTTTGAACCAAAAGAAGCAAGGAACTCTTCAATGAATATTATTAGTTGTTTAATATATTTTGTACCGAGATATGTTGAATTTATCTTAAACTAATTCATTCGTTGGTATTGTGAACTTTGGTTGTGGTTGTATGTTCTTTTTAATTTGTTAGCTACTTCTAGCATTATTTTAGTTGATTTTTATCATTCAAACACCCTAACATGCCTAGACATGACATTAGCATTATCCTCAATTATTTGGGTTCAGCATTATGAGTCATCAAAATTTATGAATTACTATGTCCGCCTCTTGCTCTTATTATTCCCTAGAAATTAACTTTTACATGTCTAATAAGTGTAACATTTGTTATGCATTTCCAAACTACCTACATTTTTTTCCAGTAATTTTATCCTCAATCTATGTCACTTCAATGATTCCTCTATTATAATCATGTTTTAATTTATATTTCTTAGTTTTTTCACACATCCATGTTAACGTTCTCTCTTTTTTTTTCATGTTTAATTTAGTTATCAGTGACTTTTTATTGCTTAGCATGATAAGCCATACAACATAATTGGTCTATTTATAGTTTCATAAAATTTATTTGCAAGTCATTGTGATATCCTCTTATTGTATGCTCATGAACACTTTTTCATTTTATAAAATTCTAGTTATTTCTTATCATGCTAAGGCATACAATATAATTGCCCTAATGATAGTTTCATAAAATTTAGTTGTAATTCATTGTGATATCCTCTTATTTTATGCTCATGAAACACTTTTTCATCTTATAACATTCATAGGATTTGCTTAAATTAGTTCAAACCTTGACTTGTAATTGATCATTGTGATTGATTTAAATTTTGGTTTAGTGAGAATTAGAATCTTTGATTTCAAATTTAGATAAAATCACCCAAACTCGACTTGATATCACTTCTACATTACACACAATCAAAGAAAAATATAAATTCATAAAATATTTATTTTTTATTTAATGATCAATATTATTTGATAATCAATGATGTCAAATTGAATACTTTACCATAAAAAAAATATTTATCATAGTATTTAGTTGTAAATTGAGAATTGATAGTTCAAAGTTTTTGTTACTAAATGTATACCCTTATTTAAAAAGGTAGTGCACACCTTGAGGCGTTCCTCGAACTAAGGTGTGTAAAAATGCGTTAAGACTTGCGTCTCGTTCAAAATTATAGTGAGGCTTGTCTTGTTATTCTAAGGTATGTGTTTTGATCTTCTTGTCTTAAGCCATTTAAGGTAGCATCTCAATTAAGTTTTGTAAAAAGATATATTATATTATATGATATGATATGATATTGTATTTACATCTAATATATTTGATACAATGAATCAAAAATTTCAAAATATAATTTAAGTGTGATTACCTGACCATATTATTAATTTGTTATTTTATTTAAATTATATCGAATTTAATAAAATGAAAAATGAAATGATTAAAGAGTATTTGGAAGATGCTAATGAGGCAAAATCTAATGATAAATTTATTTTGTATGACGATTTTTTTAAAGATGATGAATGTGAGGATAAGGCCACCGGAGATTTTAATCTTTATGGTGTATTTAAATTTTAAGCAAAATATTATCATAAATCACATCTCAAACTTTAATTTTATTTTAAAATTGAATAAAGTGCCAAAATTGTCCCCGCAGCCTGTTTATATGTTACACTTTAGTATCAAAGTCGAAGTGTCAAATTAATCTCCAAATTTGTGTAAGAGGGGCTGAAATGGTCTTCCCTCAGACTATGAGGACTATTTTAGCTCATATTAAATAAGTATGAGGCTAAATTGATGCTTATAAACTATGGGACCAAAGTGACCCCAAACAAATAGTTAGGGGACCATTTTTGTAGTTTTCTCAATCAAAATTTAAGATTGATATTTATGATTTATATCTTTATGATAATAATTTAAATTAATATATCGTTAATAGACCTACACTGCCAGGGTTTGATTCTAATCCCTGGATTCAAAGAAGTAGAGGGCTGCGTTAGGTAATCAACAACTAGTGTAAAATTTTTTGTTGAAAAAGTTATGACATTAATTCCTTAAAACATTGTGTAAATGTTAGGATGTTCTTTGGAAGCAACACACTGTGTAACCTAAATACAATGAAAAGTGTGTAAGAGCAGCTACACGGATACCCTAGTGTATTGTTAAATAAGCAAGATTTTCAACATTATGTATGGAAGATGAAAAGATGAAAATCAAAGATGAAAATTAAAAAGTAAAGGAAGATATTAGTTAAAGAAAGAGAAAAGAAAAGTAAAGATTTAATTAAAGTAAAGCATATTAAAGATGAAAATTAAAAAGTGATTTTTGTAGAGGAAGATATTCAACATAAGTGGGTGAGATATTTTGAAAAAAATTTCAGTGAAGTTTTTGAAAATTCGATCAACTTTAGTGATTTTAATATTCGTTGAGAATAATAAATCTTTTAAATTTTACTTTCACATTAGTAAAAAAAGTTGATAAAGCTTTAAAGAAAATTAAGGATGGAAAATCGGTAGGAATTGATCGTATCCCTCTAGAATCGAGAAAATATTTATGAGATTTGGGAGTTTCTTGACTTACTAAACTTTTTAATATTATTTTAAAAACTAAAATGATTAATGAAGAGTAGAGTGAGAGTATTTTGGTCTCGTTTTTTAAGAATAAAGGGATGCATAAGTGTGTGCAAATTATAGATGAATTAAGTTTATATTGTCATACATTATAATTATGTGAGTCAAAATTATGGGAGAGAGTAATTGAATATAGGTTAAGACGTGATATAAAGATTTCTCATAATTAGTTTGAATTTATGTCGAGCAAATCTACTATGGAAGCTATAAATTCATTGAAATGTTTGATGGAGAAGTACACAGAGAGTAAGGAGG